ATAATCGGGTTTTGCCAACACCGGTTGGGTGGAAGAGTTGTGGTCCAGTGAACTATTGGAAAGCGAACTTGCGCATGATTGGAAATGATGGATGATTCATCCCAAAAAGGTCATTCTTTGCCTTCGTTGCTGTAATTTTATTATTTATATTTAATTTTGCCTGATAATCATCGTCATATTCACCAGATTGGAACGGTGATGGCTCAGCATGATCAAGGTGAAATGGGGGCTCGGTGGCCTATTCGCAACCGTTTTTGCTTGTTGATGAGAAGGTAGTTATCAGACCTCATTAACCCTTCTTGTGATTATCTTCCAATAAAGCGAGTATCACGCCAACAAGTTCCTTCCCTATCGCTATATGATTGGGTTTTGGTCGTAATCGGTACGGGAATTGCACAAAATACATAAGATCTCTGTGCTCACTAGCACTTGCTCATTGAGGATGACCACTACTGTCAAACATCGTCTTTTGGTTCTCTGTGCAATTACAGCTGTTCATGCTCAACTTCCGCCTGAAATTCCCCTCACAATCTTGAGAATTGAAAATCTCATGTCCATAATCTCAAAACGTTCTCAGTCTCTAAGTTTTACGGATTTCTGGATTTCGCAATAAGAAAAAGTCCAGCTGCTTGAATTAGTTCCAACATCTTGAAAACTATTCCTGAATTCTGAGACACATGAAAAGTGGGAGGGTTCTTCAAGTCTGGGATTTCAAATCTTTTTCCATATCCGGAACGGTTTGCTGAAGTCCCAGAATCCTAAAAGTTTTTTGTAAATCCTAGAGCTCCCATACCTGGACCCTACCTCTATCGACTCATCAAACTCATGATCCGGAGACCAACGCCTTTACTTGCCGAAGGAAAGCGTGATCAGAGATGTTATGCCTCAGAACATCCCGGCAGCGCCGACTGGGATTGAACCCAGGCCTGCTGGGGTGAGAGGTAATTACGCGTATCACTTCACCACCGGCGGCATTGACTTCAGCACCTGATAAGCAATAGTTTTTGGCAACTGCAACTAATTAGGAACAATTTTTACATTCAACTTCTATCCAACTTTCATACTTCCGTACTCTAGCGGAACTATAAACCTACCCTTTTCAGAACTTTTTCTAACTAATAAATTATCCCACTAAAGCTTCTTGTTGATATTAGATAGCAATTCCAACTAACTCGGATTTTTTTTTAGTTTCTGCTTGAGAGAAACGGTACTTAGCTTCTAAAACTTATTAGGATTTATTCTACAACTTATCAAGATCATTTTTCGGTTTCTGAAACTTAGGAGGCTCGATTTCCTGCTTTTGAAATTGGATCAATTTTGAGTGCATGAGATATTTCAATTCAGTACCACCAGGTAATTGCTACCAGTAAGATCCAGTAAGATGAAACCTGGATCCCGAATGGGGTTTTATCGCATACCAATAGGCATTTTAACGCATCCCAACAGGGACTTTAACAAATCTTGTTGATAGGGATTCAAATGAATTCGGATAGAGGTTTCAACGGATCATTGCAAGCATTCCGATGGATCTTAATAGGATTCAGTGGATCATTACAGGAACTGCAACGTATCTTGATAAGGATTTAAACGATCTCTGACTCGAAATCCAACGGATCTGAAGAGGAATTCCAATCGATCTCAAATTGTATTCCAATCCGAACGAATAGCGACTAGGATTCCAACAGGAAATCAAACAGATCTGAAAAGGGATTCCAATGAATCCTGATCCGATAGGGATTCCAGGAATGGGAGGGACCAAACCCGATAGCAAATCAAATAGATCCCAATAGCAATTGAAACCAATCTGAAAAGGAAATCCATTGACATTTATATTGACTGTAATTTTAAGGGATTACATCAGAGATTACTGGGCCTCCCTTAGCTCAGTTGGCAAAGACACAGCTACAAAACAAGACCATGCGGGAGGTGCCTGGGTTCGATTCCCGGTCCGGTCGGGTTGGAAAATTTCCCGATATCCCTGAGCATAGAGTATGATTGTACTTGCCACACAATTGTGCTATTGCAAAAATGGTAAAGGCATCGAAAGTTCAAAATTAATAACTGTGGAAGTACATCAAAAAAACACTGTGTTGAGAACACGCAATAAGCTAATATGCGATAATGATATCCAGTGGATTCTGACAGGAATTCCAACACATTTTGGCATGGATTTTATCGGATTTATTTTAGGGATTTTAACGGATCCCGATAGAATTCCAATAGATCCTGATAGAAACTCAAACGGATTTTGACTAGAACTTAAATGGATTCCGACAGTACTTCTAACCGATGTGATTATGGATACCAATTAATCACAACCGGCACTCCAACGGATCCCGACAGATATTCCAGTGGACCCTGTCAGGGATTGGAACCTATCTAAGAAAGGATTCCATAGGATTCTCACAGAGACTACGGCAGATACCGAACGGAATTTTAACGGATTCCGTCAGGAGTAAGATCAACGAAGTTCAAGATTTCGACAGTAAGTTCAACCGATCTGAAAATGGATACCAATTAAACTTAACTGGAACTTCAACGGATCCCGACAGGTATTCCAATGGGTCCTGACAGGAATTCCAACCGGTCTAAATAGGGCTTCCAATGGACCCTGAAAGATACTTAAACGGATTCCGATAGAAATTCCAACCGAACTGAATAGGGATTCCAACGCATCTAAAAAGGGATTTCTATTAATCCTAAAAGTGGATTAACCGGATTCAACCTTGGAGGATTCCAACGTATTTCGAAAGACAGTCTAACCGACTTGAATAGGGATTACAGCGGATCTTAAAAGGGATTCCAATAGATCCATAAAGCAGTGCTGCAAAATATCAATATCAATACTCACAAAATGCTGAATTTCATTAGCCACCAGATGTCAGTATTAGTTCAGACAGTTGAAATATCAATATCATTCACCTCAATGTCAGTGCTCAAATGACATTGACATCGTAAAGGGACCACTGATATTCTAAATTCTAACATAAATGTGTCTTATATACGGCAGCTAATTGAGTTCCGATGTTTCGAAAACTCATCAGTAATATTAAAACAATGCAACGGTTATACAAACAAGTTGATTTACTGAGATAAAAGATTTCGAACTTTTCCTTAGTGATATTCATATACTAATATCAACATGCTTACTGCAAATATCAGTGTCGGAAATGAAATTCAGTGCTAGCTTACATCAATTGACATTGTTGACAGCACGCATCACTGTCCATAAGTGACTTAACCGGATTCCAACTAGTAGCATTACAACGGACTCCGACAGAAATTTCAACCGATCTGAATAGGGATTCGAACGCTTTTAAAAAGGGATTCCAACGCATCTAAAACGGGATTCCAATGAATCCTATAAGTGACTTATACGGATTCAAACTAGAAGGATTCCAACGGATTTTGACAAACATTTCAACCGATCTGAATAGGAATCCCAGCGGATCTAAAAATGAATTTCAATGGATCCTAAAAATGACTTACGCGGATTCCAACTAGTAGGATTACAATGGATTCCGACAGAAATTCCAACCGAATAGAATTGAGTTTCCAATAGAGCTTGACCGGAATTCCTACGGACGCCGAAAGGTGTTTCAACGGAACCATGATAGCGATTTCATCGACTCTTGACGAGAATGGCAACGTATTTGAATAAAGAATCTTACAGGCATTCAAACGGATTCCGACAGTTGTCTCAGAGGAGTTATGATTTATTGAGAAATAAAAAAATAAATACGTCATTTTAATCATTTTTGTGGAATTCAAAATGGCTGGATTTTAGCTCAAATATGAATCAATGCTAAGTTTCATACAATTCGGAGAAGGTCGCGTCTGATCGATTAGTCATTTGGTGTGGAATTGCTCTGCTTTGCTGTCAAATCTCGGGTTTCTACTCGGTCTGCTAATTTGATGACCCGTTGCTACGTCCACGGATTGCTAATTTGATGATCCGGATTGCGTTCACGGGTTTGTTTGCATTTTACATACCCATTTAGCACGCTGCGGTGCGAGTCGTTGGGTTGCGGTTATAGGAATTAAAACCCCCTTTTAACGCCCGCGGTAGAGATGCTCCGACTTTTGTTTATCCGACAGAGTGAACTAATCCATGCAGTCAGTGATGCCACATACACAGATTTTTTGTAAGCATACAGGTTGTAGGTTCCTAATCCATGAGCAAAATAATGCCTTACCATCAAAACGGACTCAAAAAGTGAGGAGAGGCGTTCTCCAGACGATAACGAAGCTGAACAAATTCGTTCGTTCAGATGATCTCATAGATCTTGAGAAGGAACCATTTAGTCATAGTTATTCTTCATGCCTATTCAAGTAAAAAATAAAACAACGGCAATCTAGAAAAAATCATTCATGAACTTTGCGTTCAGTTTTTTTCTCGGAAATTATTGTTAAACAAGCTATGATTAAATAAAACTAACCGCTTTCCTACCATTCCCCAGAGTGCCAAAAAATTCAAATTTGAGAGAGAAAATTCTCTCTCAAGAGCTCAATCTCTCAACATGCCATGTATTTTGATGACACTCGATTTGTGAATTCCCTCTCACAGACTTCAGTATAGAGTACCAGGCACTGAGAAAGTTGTTGGTATACTTAATTATGCACTTAGATTAATATCCAAAATCCCTTCTTTTTGCAAACTCGGCACAACAAATGCTTTCTAAACCCTGCCACATTAATAATAACGGCGGGAAATTGTGTGTGTCAAGTCTGCAGAAAAAGAAGGGGTTTCGGATGTGAACCTAAATGCATATATAGAGGTAGGGGAAACGCTCCTATAGTTGCGGTACGTTAGAAGCGTTAGGTTCCTATAGTTGTGTACGGAGTCTCCATACGCAACTATAGGAACCTAACGCTTCTAACGTACCGCTACTATAGGAGCGTTTACCCTACCAGACATTTTTTGCATTGACAGGTACTTCATTGTGTAGTCTGTGAAAGGGATTTCTAGGCCTGTTAACTGCACTATCCTCTGTTAACGAAAAGCAGATTATGCGTTATTCCCGATAGATGTCACTGCAAACAACAGCAGTGACATCTGACGGAAAATTAATGCAGAAGCTTGATTAAACGGTTTATTGGGATAGGGGATCGAATTGATGGTCGCGGCTCAGTAGTATTCCAACTGAAGGGTCAATTATTAGGCGCTTTGCTCTGAATTCTTCCATTCAATACTTGCTAAACAAAATGACAAAATGCGAGTGCAAAAAATAGTAAGCAAGCGCTCGTTTAACTGCTTTGAACAAACAACATTTGAAATAAACGTAAGAACCAGTTGGCAGAAGACTCCTGTTCAGCAAGTCGCTGTTTCCCGAAGCTCATTTTTCAAACGAGGAAGTCATTAGTTTGAACTGATTTATCGACATCGTACATATTTACCCGAATAAAAATGCACCATCGAAGAACAACAATGAATTTTATTGTTTTTTTTTCTATTTTTGAGATTTTTTACATAGAATGTTTTGTGAATAAGATCATTTGACAAATACAATGCAACTACAATAATGTTGATTGTTATTGATATTAAAATTGTAAAGTTCTTTTTAATCGGGTTGACTTCTGGATTTTAGCATTCGTCCGGCATCCTTTTGCTTTACGTCAGAACATCTTCGAAAAACAGTTATGAACAGTTACTCATGGTTATGCTTAATTTTCGACATTTAGCTCGGTTTCTGTTTTCTACCACCCAGAGTGGCAAAACTATTTCGTTGTTTCCTGTGAGATTAAAAGTAATTATCTTTCGCAAATTATTTGTCCGTTTCTTTGCTACCGAATACGTGACTCTATTCCAACTGTGACGTACATTGTGTTGAATAACAGCAGCAGCAACAATAACAACAACACTACCACCATCACCACCAGCAACAACAGTTTAAATTCCGTGTTTCTGAAGCAAACAAAACTGATAATATCAGCATTTCTTGCGTTAACCACCTAGCAGCAGCCTGCAGCTAAAACCGTCCAAGAACACCTCTAACCATCATTAGCCTAACCGTCGGGAGTGCGGTTTCCGCATCGGTTCAATTAATCATGCCTATTATTAGAGACATTTACTGTGAGAGGAACAAGTGCCAATACCAACCTAAAATGTAGTATTTCAACTATCACCAGACGAAAACAAAAAAGAAACCATCATATAGTGCAAACAAAATGTATTCGACAACATCAAGCTCAACGAAAAATTCCGGTTCCATCTAACCGTACTAAAAAAAAAATCTACCAAAAAAAACGGGTTGTTGTCGTGCCTCCACATCGACGACGACGACGACGGGCCGTTTGCTAGTGCGAATTTGAAATTTTGCGACGGAGAGAAATCTGTTCGATTAAGTGTCAAGTGTCAAGCCGGTTTCCGCAATCGCGAAACACGGCATCCAGTTATGAATCGCTATTGGTGAAACAATCGTAAAAATTAAGACCACGCGGCTTCAAACTGGATCCAACAAGTGACAGTAGTGGCAAGCGACAGTCACTAGCCGCAGCCGCCGCCGTCGAGATGAACGTCTCGCAGGGTTACCCGGTCAATCCGGAGGGAATCGCGTATCCTTCGCGGTACTACCACCACCGGGAGGATTACCTGCATCACCGCGGTGGTGGTGGTGGTGGTAGTGCTGGATCGGTGGCAATGAATCACCACGTCGGCGCGGATGATGGTCCGTGTTACGATCCGTCCACAATGGGATCCTACCCGGAGACGGGCGGGAATCCACCGTACGGGTATTCGCCTTCGCCGTACGACCCCGTCGACGGGCGGTTCAACTTTCCTGCGTACCACCCGGCATCGAGTGGACCAGGACCAGGTGGTAATCCGAGGGGACATCCGGAGATAGCGATGATTAATCATCGGGTCGGGGCGAGCTACGGCCATTCGTTGCCGTGGTATGGCGGATCACCGCGGGCCTACCCGATCCCGCCGGAACACATGTACAATATGTATCATTTTGGCAGGTAATTGATGCTTTGTAATTGACTTTCTTATTTGCGGTTCGGAAACTGAACGCAGCTGTCGGTTTTCAGTGTAATCCTTGGAATGACGGCGTAGTACTCTCTTGTATTTTTCTTATTTCAATATCCCGGCGTGGCCATACTTGATGGGAGAGCTCTAGTGTTTGTTGCAATAGCGTTAAACAGCGCCGAAGGAGGAGGGTACAACCAACGAGACCGCCGTCGCCGGTTGGTGAAAAACGTTGCACACTGGTGTATTGAGAGCAAGGTTGAAAGGGGGCTAAAGTTAAGGTCGTAGTAAAAATCTAAAGTTCAAAATTTCCTCGACCGGACCAGGGATCGAACTCAAATTCGCGATACTGCAGTTCTTTCATAGACTGAGTAATTGTTCCTGGATTTCCCTTAAAAATCTACTCGGAGATTTAGATAATCGTAGCAAACTTCTATCAGTCTATGAATGTACGCGTAGATCAAGTAAATTTTTTTGTCGATTTTCCTTCCGCATATGTTTGATGAAAATCAATGACCAGTGTTTTTGCGATTTTGAGAAAATGGAGCTCTGAGTTTCTAAAGTGAAACCACTTGTCAGTTTGTTTGTTTTCCAATTAATTCAGAAAGTTCGAAGTATTTTTAAAATCGTACTCTTTTTGCCTCATATCAATAAGAACTATTTGCCATCCCAAGGATGCTTCTTATGCGTGGAATTTTGACTTAGTTGTTAACTGAAAATCATGACAATACTTATTGAAAAATGCATTGGCGTCCCGTAGCCTCACTTTTTACCTGTGAACCAAATTTAATGCCATATTCATACTCCAATCGGTTGAAAAATACACTTAATCTTCTAGTTTACTCGATATCTATCCGTTGCACACTGGGCCAGGAATACAATCTAGCGGAGCAAAATTAATAACTCCGAAACTAAGCATTTTCGCGACTTGGTGTCCTCATCATAATAAGGACCATCAATTAACATAAACAAATAGTTCAAAACTCTTCCGCAAAGATGGCGCCACAATCTAACAATCTTTGATCAGCTGGAGATATTTTAAATACTTCCTAACCGATCTGCCATCTTGAGAGAGCCAGTTGAATGTTTGGCCAGTTTAAGATCTTCAGATTTCCTGGTCAATCTGAATTCACTAATATCTGACCAACCAGCAATCTTGAGAGACTATCTAGAGACGTTATTTTAATTTTATGAACAGTTGAATATCTTAAGAATAATAATTGATCAACTTCAGGTCTTGAAAAATATCCAGAGGTCTTTAAATCTCCGACCAGCTGTATATCCTTTATATACTCTCTAATCAAACTTCCGTCTTGGAAGGATGTTTTAAAGACGTCGTTTGAATTTTTTGAACAGTTGCAGATCTTCTGAAGATTACTTGATTAAGTTTAAAAGTCTTGAATAATATCGAGAGATATCATCGCAAATCCGTGAATATCAGTTATACGAAGATTCCTGTACTTTCAAGAAGTTTCTTGAACTTAATCTCAGTTCCATGAACTCAAAGCCTTTATAAAGTTCTCTGAATATGTAGAATATTCGACGAAATCTTGGGATTTTCGCAGTTCCCAGTACTTCAAACATTTGTCCAAAGCTTACATCTTTTAATTTTTCGATAGGTACAACTGAATTCCTACCCAGCTTGCTGAACTTGTACGAATTTCAAATAATTCATGCGATCGTAATCATCGTCCACGAAGTTGTTTAACATTCTACGAAGTATCCTGAAAATCTATGATGGTCCCTGAAGTTTTACGAAGTTCCACGAACTGTTATGAGTTCAGTTCTCTGAAATCAAATGGAGTCTCTTGATATCTAAGAAATGCCCTAATGTGACGTAATATTTGTCAGCCAAATTTCCTACAGATTATGATGATTGTGGTGGATGATTTCTCTCATGAATGTATTTGTAAAAACTATTTTGCCGTGCTTTAGGATTACATAGATTACATTCTAACGGGAATAGGTAATGCATACCTTTCAACGTAACGAATGACAGCCAGGGAGAGCTATGGAAGTCAAGATAAAAGTCGCCGACATATGAAAGTTCCTCCAGAAGGAGTAAGCATTTTACAAGATTCCGCTCGCTAATCTAAGGAAGGACTCTTAAAACTGCAAATACTGAGTCTTTTCATCAGTTGAGACTAGTACTACGTACTTCCAACCATCTTAACAATGCATTTCAATGGTTTTTCGATCAACTATGAATGATGAACATCTCACGACGCTCAACCTGATTTTCGTCTATGTACCATCTAGATACGCGATTATAAAATTTAATCAAAATGTTCACGGTTTGTTTCACTACTAGGTCGTATTTTTCACAAGTGCTTCTTGTACAACGATCATATACAAAAAGTGATGTCTGTGTGCAATACTTTCGAAAAATCAGAATGAATGGCAAACGAAGGGAAGATATATATATTTCATAAGATGTGAAAGTTCTGTCTTCAATGTCTGCTACAGATATTCCAAGAAAGATTTAAAGGGGTCTCATATTAAAAAAAAAATCTCGGGATACACGTGATCCTGGGATTCTTAAATTAATTTTCCGGGATTCGGAAATCCCAGGAAATGTCACAATGGAAGCTCTACTTACTACCACTTGTAAGAAACGATTTCTGTCTTTGAAACTCATTAATGACGACTTTCGGCTACTGTAACTTATTACCCAAGTAACAATTCAGCAACTATTTGGCATCCACTCTAATTTATGATGGTTTTAAAATGGAAATGAACAATCCATTTAGTTTGAATACAGCATTTCAAAGTGTAAAACACTGCTGTTTAGTAATTCATCTGTTTGCTGTTTCAAAATCCTTTTATAGTCTGGCGAGAAAGTCGACGATTGCCTTGTTTTAAAAATAAATTTAAAGCAGTTTTTGACCCCTTCATAATACTGTTCTGTAATTCAATCATAAACTTCATCAGAAATTTTTTATTAATGTTTTGATCGAATAATCTATCAAAGTTTTCTATCATTTTAAAAGCAACAATAAAATCATTAGGTTTTAAATGAGAGCAAAAGGTATATTTTAATGCTTTTTAGTCTTTTTAAAGTGTATCATAAAATCCACAATTACTCTGTTTACAAATTACACTTAAAAGATATGGATCCTCATAGTGAATAAAACCAAAATTTATGACAAGGAAATCTCGAAGGAAAGACGAAGTAGAATGACAAATTCAAGTGATTCTAACGATCGAAGGGAGGTCGATTTCAGCAAAATTTACTTCTTTAGAAGAACCATCACGACCGGCTGAATCGGTACCAATAGGTGACGATCGGAATAACTTGGATCAGTACCATAATCAAACTCGATGAGTCTCATCGTCGCCCACTGGTCACCCACCATAGCCGGTCGAACTCCGGACGAAGCTAGAACAGCACTACCGTTCATACTGGCGAAAACGCTCTGATGAGACAACGAAACCCTACCCCAAGCTCCTCCCCTGATCCTATCCTTCGAAAATGTACCTTTCTAACCTCGAGTAAGCCGCGAGTAATCGGCCCAACTCCTACTAGACATAGAATTAAGTGAATTTTGTTACACACAGTGAACAATGAATTATCGGCTCCGTAAAGCTAACGCGATTGAGCCTTCCAAATAAACGAACTAGATAAAAAAAAAACCATAATCAAACTACTAAACTGCCAGCAGAGATTAGCTGATTTCCGATCCATGGCAGCGATTTTATTCGGTGAAACTCATCAAAAATTTCATTCAAGCGTACATTCCTGTGTCGTATGATGGTGCACTTCGGGAACCATCCGGAAAAAAAGAGATCTTCTTCGGGAATAAGCTGTTCGAAATTCTAAATATAATACAACAGTATCGCACACTTTCTGAGTAACTGCTTCCAATCCGTTGTCTGGAAGAACGCTGCATCGCACAGTGTAACTATAGAAAGATAAACAAACTTTGACGTTTAATTTTTTGGCGGCAGCTTTGCCTCCATAAATTCTGCCATAAATCTGAACGGGTAAGGATCAAGCAAAATGGTTTTAAATAAATACAATACAGTCTGCAAGTTTTCTTCACTAAAGCCTTTTTGAAACCTTTTTTAATTTGTTAGGGATTTCTTGAAAGCAAAATAACTTTTTCACAAATGGTCCAAACAATATTATATTATATTAAATATTATAATACATCAAAAATTTAGCTTTTTTCGTTGACATTTAGAGATAGCGAATGGGATCTAAGTCCAAAATGTCGAACGATGAGCTATTTCAAATAAAACATAGGCTTCTATAATTAAACACATAATTTTGTGACTGAGGGCTACATTTGGTCCATTTTGTTCCCGCCTATGGACTTACGCTTACATATTGATATATCGAAATCACTATCCTTGCGGCGATAGTTGCAGCGTGAGTAAATATTATAATGAGAGAGAACAAGAAAAAATTAGAGAGAAAGAGAGAGAGAGGGAAAAAACGAGCGAGCGAAATAAAGCTAAAACTTATTACAGAAAAACTCTTCCTAAATACACGCTACGAAAAAGACATGTAAATGTCAGTGCCCTGAAACCGACACATGCAAGCGTTTGACATAAGAATCAGTTGAAAAGGACGAGAAAATCAATTCAATCAAACGCACTTTTCGTCGAGTTGCATATGTTTCAGTTTCAGGACACTTAATGTTACATGCCATGTTTTTTGTTTATTAATTTATTTGATGAGGCTTAATCGAATTAACTTTACAGTGCCGAGGATTCTTGTTCATTATACAAAACATCGTAAAACTATAGTCAAAAGGTACAGCAAATCAACCCTTTATCTTCCGCTATCCAAAAAGCCTCCTCCATCAGAACTGGAGCCGCTTCCAGTGGTTTCATTGCATGGCAGTTACGCCATCGTGGGGCAAAGCGCTTCCATTGCAGCAATGGACGCAAAACGTGGTCAGCACTCACACACTCATCGCGAAACGGTTGCTTTCCAAAGTCGACGACGCATCGACCGAAAGAACTGCTGATGAAGAACAATGATGAT